GTGTATTACAGCTTTTGGCGAGAGTTTCTGACCTGGAAGCAACTGTGGACCAAACCAGAAACGAAGCTCAAAATCGGAGGAAAGAGGTTGAGTATCTCGAGCAGCAGTTGGGGGTTCGACGGGACACTGAGCTCGTGTCTCATCGGCAGCATCGGGACTTGAAAGACGAATTGGAGTCGTTGCAAACAGAGCTGGCTGCCATGAAGACGAAGCTGTAAGTTTTTTCGTTTGGTTTTCCTGGACCTGTCTAATGTTTTGTTGACTCCGTCGTTATGTTGGTTGAGAATCAAAGAGTAGTCGTGATTTATGTTTAATAACTTGTTTGAATGCTGTCTATTGCTGTGAGTGCCCGAGTGGCCGTTCCTTGAAGTTGAACCTGCTGAGGAAAAATACATGGGTCTCGCTTCTGCATGCATGAATATTCAGGTTTCTTGGGTTGTCTTCATCCTTCTTGTGAAGAAATTCCAATGTGGATTCCTGCGAAATTTAAAGTTGAACGCTTGATGAAACACGTGATGATGAAGTTACTGAATTTCTGTGTTCTCATTTTGGAGTTTTTTCATGGAAAGTAAAGGTTCGCTGAACTCATTAAAAAAAATTGCAAATTACCGGTACCGTCTTTTGTTTTTTTTACGTGCGCTACGGTCGGTTGAGATTCATTTTTTCTTCATGTTATAGAGAGTTCGTCACTCGTGACGTTGACTGATTTAATTGCTTTTTTTTGAGAATTCTCATTTCTGATGGTCAATTTATTGAAAAGCGAAAGTATGAAATGGCTGGGAAGGTGGCATTCAACTGTGACGAAGAATTGAACGGAGAATATTTAATGGAGCCAACATTGTTCATGTGAGGATTTTTGGTTTCCCTCTTCAATTTTTTTTACACGGTGCATTGGAATTAATCTGAGATTAATCTCGATGTTGAGAACAAAACAGAAGTGTGAAGCATATATTCGATACACTCTTCGAGAAGTGCATATCTTGTAAACGCGGAATCATTTGGTTTTTCACAATGATTCGATCATTGAGGCTCATTTGATGATTGTCTTTCTCGAGATAACTATTTATGTGGAGGACCAGTCTTGGTGTGAAGCACGAAGAGAATTCGCGAAGAAAATATGAACTTGTTCGCCCGTGAAACGTTGGCTGAATTCGAGAATAGCATGTGACAAAAAGTCGTGTATGATGTTTCCCCTATTTTCTCTTGTGTTGGGTGTTGAATGCCAAGGTTAACTGCTGGACATGCTCATTTATTTCTTCTCTGTATTCGCAGGGAGATGAAAGCTGCAGACGTGGACCATTACCGGAAAGAATCGCACGACCTGCAAGTGGAAGTGGAGCAGATGCGACTGGAGCTGACTCGGGCTCGTGGAGAAAAGCGGGAACTGTGCGACGAGCTGGAGCGAGTGCAGCGGCGGATGGGGACGCCGTTTCTGTCGACCGCCACTCCGATGGACCTCAGCCCTGTGCCAGCTGCCTACAGCTTCTCGCCCGTTTCTGTCCTGCTGCCGCAGATCGGTAGTGACACTGACGACGATTTCGTCATCAAGAGCACAGTTAGGATAATCAAAGACCACCTGGATGACGATGACGGCGATGATGATGATCTCCGTCGACTAGATCTCAGGCCAAGAACCGGATCTCTTTGAAAGCTGGCGTGTGGATTGCTTTTTTTGTTTTGCACAAACGGCCGTGTGTTTGTGGCTTTTTCGTAATAGTGTAATATTTTTGATATGGATGCTTTTGTGCTCAGAAAGCCAAAACGGAAAATGAGCACGTTTGTTGTTGAGTTGTGACGCGTTTTCTCTCCGAAGAAGGCATATGATGGACGTCCGCGCACGAAATCTACTTGCGAATATACATTCGATCGGTTGGAACCATTTTCTTGTGACCATCATACGGGGAACGAATGCAAAACTTTCGTACTGTATGTTTTTTGTTTCTTGATTTCTTTTTCTCTTTATTACATTGCAGAACAAACATGAAAAAGTGTCTACCATTCTGTATCGGTGGAATTGAGCCGTTACCAGGAGAATACGCGCTTTCCGCGATGAGTGTAGATGATGAGAATTATACTCAAGTGTCGATCCCGCTTTCAGACTTTTGGCAATGAAGTGAAGTGCTGCGATTAATCGTAATGTCGTAGTGACACTGGTTAGAATGGCAGTAGGTCCAGGTACCACCAACATTGCTTTTGCTGCTGGACAAGGCGGTGACTACAGTACATACGTCCAACTGCTTTCTTCGTTTGCTGCTGTTGGCATCCATCATTGGCCAAGAAGTTTCCTTTGCCTAACTTTCATCCCTGATGTGCTTTATGTTCGCGAGTGAAAGCGGGAGTTTTTGCTCAAAGCTGAGACACACGTTTTCTTCGGTTTTGCCAACAAGAAAAAATAAACAAAAAAACTGGTTCCTTCATGATTCAACAAAAATTTGAATCCGTCTCCAAATAAATCATCCGGTATCCTCTAAAATGCAATAATACTGCTGCTCTGTGTTCCACGTTCTGAAATGTCAAGTTTTTTCCTGCCTAGCAACTAGCTGCTCCAAAGCAGATGAGGTCATTGTGAGGTCATTTTGTGTGCAATATACCATGAAGGTTGTGGTAATTTCCCTTGTCTCCCTTTTGTGGTGTCCCAATTTTGTTGTGCAGGCGTGTCTGGTTTCTTTAGAATCTATAAAGGTACCGCAATGTATGTTTATATCATTCATTGTTGGTATGGCATTGGATGGTTTAATATTAAAATATATACATATCATACTCTAGAAGGAGAAGTCTTTTTCCCTTACGACCCCAGCTATAAGAAATAAAATGTTCTTGTTCAAAGGTTATTCCAGAGAGTTTACATTCTTAAGATTAATTGCTCTCTGAGGAGACGTTCCTTTGTAAGCAAAAGTTTCCTTTGCTAATTCTCTGGCAAATTTAGGATAACATTATTTGGTGCAGCCAAGATTTCTTTTTCACCTGGGGTGATTGCTTTGTATCAAGTGCTTTGAAGAATCAGTAAAAGCCACAAGTGCTCCAGACCTCTGCAGGCACACGCAACAAAGTGCCTCTGAATACGGCATTTGTGAGAAGTGAATTAGAAATGAATGTAAAGTGAATTTCCCACTATGGCAACTGGTACAGCCGCAAATGTGTCCACGCTCAAAATGTCACAAGTTTTAGATGTCAACGCTATCATGGATAGGAAACTCCTAGGAATGAGTCTGAAAGAGCAGGCCAAAGTAGCAGGGATAAGAAAAAAAAGAACTCAAAAGTGAGTTAGAAAGGCTAGAAGGTCAGCTTAATGCAACCCCTCCACCCACTCAGGAAGTAAGGGATGCGCTAAGAGAAAGAGTTGAGGAAATTAAAGCTGCTGACAGCCCTTTAGCAACCTTTTATCCTGGAAAAGCAGGAAATGTATTTTCCTGCTTGTTCTCTCTCTTGAGGTTGTTCCCCAAATTTGACCTTCCTGTGAGAAATGATGCACAGTCATTGTTATAGTATTTAAGGTTAACCTTCTCAAGAATAAATGATTCTAGAGGAACACCCTCTTTTCTGGATAGTGGAAAAGATGGTTAGAGAAATGACTCAGCACTTCTCTCTTCCTTGTTCCTGGTTCAAATGTGTTGTGGGCAACCTTGCCCTCTGGAGTGTGCATTCAATGCACACTAATATTTCCTCTTCCTGGTTCTTCCCAACCAGGCAGTATATAAAGGGCAGGACTTTCTCCTGCTCCTCAGAACCATTCTAGAGTTGAATCAGGTGAGTAAGGATTAGCTAATGTTGTCCGTAGACTGAGGTAAAATAAAATATACAAGTCCAATAAAAATATATACTTCAATTATATTCAGTTTGCAAATATTTGTACAATTGCACAAACATAAAAATAGAGAGCTTTTAAGAGAGTCTTGCTAAAATGTTCTGCAAGTCTCTCTGAGAAATAACCGCAAATGACTCTAGATTAATTCTGAAGAAATATGTGGGAAGGAAGGTATATTTATACCTTCTTGGAAACATGAAATATAGAGGAAGAATATTTGCCTAGATTGAGGAACTGCGGGTTCCCTAAACACTTGATGAATATATATATATCTGGGTATATATTATAAATATAAATAACATATATACACTTGCAAATTCAGCGGAATAGGCTTCTTCTAAATTGGCAGTTTAGAAGAAGGAAGTGCAGGTCATTTGTCACTGTCAACAAATAGCAAGTTGAAAAGGAGAAATGCGCGATAATGACCATCACGCATTAATGCAGGCTGACGTGAGAGAGGGGGAACCAAAACAAAAGGGGAACTGCTGCAAGGGAACAGATACCTTGTTGAGAAGGATCTCCTCCAATATAAGGAGAAAAGAAAATAATCGCAATTTGGTTTCTGGGTTACAAACTCACGCTAGGCAAAAATAAAAACAGGTTCCATTGTTTTTCTAGGTAACAAATCAGGGCTTTAGCTGAGGAAAGTTTGACAGGTGCCAACTTGGCGCCAACAAAATTGTTATTGTCAAATGTTTTGAAGTGCCCAATTCTCACAAGTGTGAGTGTTTTCAAAAAACAACAAAGAGAAAAAACCAATTGTTCTGAAGGTCTTCTTTTATGATGGTTTCTCTGAGTCAAGCCTTCTTCAGGAGAGAAAATCAAACCTGAGGTCTTCAGTGCCAATCGACAGTCGGAGCTGTTGACACAAATTTCCTGGTGAGCTGGTAACCTTACAGAATTTTTTTGTTTTAAGTTAAAGACTCTTCTCAATTTGTTTTGATTTGCTGTTTTGCAGGTTTCTTTTGTAAAGTCTTGCAAGTGTTGTAAAGAAAATCAGGTTTGGAAATATCTATTTCATCACCCGAAGTCCTGAAGTCAGAGGTAACTCCATCTGCCTCCAATATTCCTGTTGCCACCATCAAGGGCAGATGAATGCTCATGAACAGAGAACTGTATGGTACCCTGTATGTAAATAACATGTTCCTAACACAAGCGCAATTCATTATGTTCCCAATGCATGGTCACAAGTTCAAAGGGATCCTAGGATCCAACGTTTTGAAAAATTTGCATGCCAAACTGTTGTATGGAGAAAAGTGTGTACACCTAAATGATATGCATGTATCAAAGACAAAAAGTGAATTGTTATTGTATTTGTCATGTGGAAGAGTCTGAATCCTTCTGATTGTATCCAGTAGAATCTTTTGAAATTCCTAGAAAGTCCCAAAAACTTTTATTTGCAAAACTATCAGAAAAATGCACAGAAAAAGTTGGAACATGTACCTTGTATGTCTCTAATGGCCTTCTTGCAACTTTGATAGTTGCCCTAGCATTTCCGTAAAACATAAGGAAGCCTACGCAGTGCTGTGTCTAAACATAGGTGACAAAGACATTGATGTTTCCCCTCACCTTACTTTAGCCATTGCTACTATGGGAGAGATCATAGATCTCAAGGATCCTTCAGGAAAGCCTCCAATGGTCTTAGCAACCAAGGAAAAGGCATCAACTGGAAAATCCTGAGACAAGGAAAAATTGAAAAGATTTCACAGAAAATGACTGGAGAAGAATTTTTTACAGCTCATTGGCAAGAATATTAAACTGCTCAAACACAAAATTGTTTGCCCAACAAAGTCTCCATACAACAGTCCCACGCTCATGTTCAAGAAGAAAGACAGTGTTTGGCAGATAGTTGTAGATTTTTGATGTCTAAACAACCATGTAATTACGGACGTGCACCCCCTTCCACAAATCAAATAGATTTTGGAAGAGTTGGAAATGCTGAATATTTCACAGCTCTTGATCTTCTTCATGGATTCTATGACATTAATCCCTGGAGAAGAACATTGGAAGACAGCATTCATGACACCTATGGGAAATAACAAATTAATTTGTCTATCCATGAGCCTGGAGAACATTCCTTTAATCTTTCTGCAACTAACCCACTTGGTTTTGGATCAGTTTTTGGGAATTTATGCTTACATTCACATCAACAATACTCATGTACTGCAGACAAACACTTCTTGCATTTATTGGATATATTGCAGCATCTTCATGAGGGGGAGTTAAATGTAAAGTTTTACAAGTGTCAACTGTTTGTACTCAAATAGTAATCTTCTGTAATTCTAATTCCATTAGTACTTGTAAAAAATTCAAGATATTTGATCTCTTCAAGGAAGAATTGACATTTACTAAATTTTACTTTTAATCCAGCATTCTTAAGGTGTTCAAAACATTTTCTAGATGCTGTACATGCAATTCAGCATCCAGTGAATAAATTAAAATTTCCTGGATATATATGAAATCATAATTCACCAAATATCCATCCAAGACAAGATTCATCATCCGTTGAAAAATGCTTGGTGAATTGTTTAGTCCCATTGGCAAACAAATAAATTTGCAATGGCCTGAGGGAGTTGAGAAAGCTGTTTTATGACAATTTTTTGGATGTATTACAAGATTATAAAATCCATGAAATAAATCCAAAGCTGTGAAATATTTTGCCTTACCCAATTCTTTAAATATTTGATGCATTTGAGGGAGTGGGTGAGGGTCAGTTATTACCATCCTCCAACCTCCATCCTTTTTTCTCACCGTCAGCATTGGTGAATTATAAGAGGAAGTGCTAATACATGCAATCCCTTCATTATTCATCTCATCTACAAATGTATTCATTACATGGCGTT